CCCCCCCCCGCCTTCCATTCTTAAGTCTCCTAAGTAGCTAGCATTGTAAGTGTGAGCCACTGTATCTGGCTAGGACAAGACCATTTCTGACTCCACTCTCTGAAGTTGTATTGACTGTCCATAAGAAAAGGGCCTGAGAACAGGGAAGTTACTATTGTTAGCTTCTCTTACAATGTATGTAAAACCTGTCCAAGCAGAGGCATGCAGAATAATGACTATCTCCCCAGCAAAATTTAACAAGCACACTGCATGCCCCATGTGCTGATGGCTGAAAAACTGATATACTGTGATTGTGAAACAGTATTTTACCCTCCTGTCAGTTACTAGGTGTCTATCAGAATTCAATGTGGGTAAGTGCTACAGTGGCTCAAAACTGTAATCCTAGCTATTCAGGAGGTTAAGGTCTGAAGGATCAAGGTTCAAAGCCAGCCTGCACAGAAAAGTCTGGGGTTCTCCATCTCCTAGTAACTAGAAAAATACTGGATGAGAGGTATGACTCAAGAAATAGAATGCTAGCTGTGAGCAAGCGAAAATGCAGAGCCAGAGAGCCAAGGCCTTGAGTTCAAGCCCTAGTACCAGCACACACACATAAAAAAGAATACTATGTGGCTATAATGTCTCAAAGTATCTTTCACAGACCCATCAAAAGGTCTTCTTGATGAGATGGAAATACTTGTCCCACTATATTCAGGGGGAAGTGGAAGGGACTCAGAAGAGTACCTGTCACTCAAGGGGAAAGTAGGAGGGGCCAGAAAGTACTTGTCACTCATGAGGAGTGGGGCGGGGGGAGGAGAGAGTGGGAGAAGCCAGGGAGATTATCTGTACTCAAGGGGGTAGTGGGAGGGACCAGGGAAATTACCTGTCACTCAGGACGACTCCCTCGGCCTCTGGGGGAGCAATTGAGAGCTGGAATGGAGTGTTGAAGTAATGCTGCTGCTCATCAGACCGGTGCACAACTTCACCACCCCTAACCACTAGGAAGCCGGAATCCCCCAGGTTGGCTGTGTGTAAGCGGTGGCTACTCCTGTCCAGCACCACAATGCACGCGGTGCTGCTACCTAGGAAGGAACCAGATAGCGATACACAATGGAGGCAGGTGCCTCTGCACACATCTTCATCATGTAACTTCAAAGACCAACAGGCTGCATTTTGAGTTTCTTTCCTACACTGAGTAGTATTAGTTCTACTTTGCACACCCATAAACATCAGCTATGACCTAGGCAGGGTCAACACATGGGAAGAAAGCCCGCAGGCTATTAAGATCTAGATTCTTCCTTCTACAGAGATGGGGGAAGGGCAAATGGCTTCTGCACCAACCTGCACTGAGAATGGAGTGATGTTCGGATGGCTGACCCACCCATCAGGCACCAGGCAAATCCCCCATGTTAAAATGTAATTTATTTTATTTTATTTTTTTTTGTCGATCGTGGGGCTTGAACTCTGGGCTTGGGCGCTGTCCCTGAACTCTTCAGCTCAAGGCAAGCACTCTACTGCTTGAGGCATAGCACCACTTCCAGTTTTCTAGTGGTTTATTGGAGATAAGAGTCTCACGGAGGGGCTGGGAAGGTGGCTCAGTGGTAGAGCGCTTGCCTTGCATGCCAGAGGCCCTGGGTTCGATTCCTCAGCACCACATAAGCAGAAAAAGCCAGAAATGGTGCTGTGGCTCAAGTGGTAGAGCGCTAGCCTTGAGCTGAAGAGCTGAGGGACAGCGCCCAGGCCCAGAGTTCAGGCTCCACAACCGGACCCAAAAAAAAAAAAAAAGAGTCTCACGGACTTTCCTGCGCAGGCTGTCTTTGAACCGTGATCCTCAGATCTCAGCCTCCTGAGTAGCTAGGATTATAGGCATGAACTACTGGCGTCGGGCTGGAAATATTTTTTATCCCAGAGCTCCTTCTACAAGCCCTCGGTGCAGCAGAGGGACAACCCTGTGAGGACCAAGAATTTACAATGCACTTGGATGTCTGGAGAAATGCATCAACAATTAATGGCTGGCTCTTTAAATTACATTTGCTTTGTAGGCTTTGTGGCCATTGCTGGCTTAAAAAAATGACCACCAGGGTTGGGAAGGTGGCTCAGTGGTAGGGTGCTTACCTTGTATGCATGAGGCCCTGCGTTCGATTCCTCAGCACCACACAAGCAGAAAAAGCCAAATGGTGCTGTGGCTCAAGTGGTAGAGCGCTAGCCTTGAGCTGAAGAGCTGAGGGACAGCACCCAGGCCCAGAGTTCAAGCCCCATGACCGACCAAAAAAAAAAAAAAGACCACCGATTCTTGTAAAGTTATTATTTACAGTTATATCTAACTGAAGTTCAGTAAAACTTGCTTGTATTTAAGTTACCAAGTGGTACACAGATGTGTGGGTTAAGTATACATCACACATGGCAATGAAATGGCTATTCAATGTGTTTTAGGAGGAAAAAAGTAATCACAATATTCAATGTAAGTAAGCCACTAACATGGCGTTAAATTTATTTCCATCTCCAAGTTACACAAGGAGAATGACAAAGTCAGCAGAGGTAGGGTAAAAAACATCAGAAAAAACAAAACTTTTAAAGTATAAAACAGCAGGACAACTCTTTCCAACTGGTTGTCCCAAATAAAGCGGAAAGGGGAAGGCTTGCAGACATGCGGGCATCAGCTCCTGCCTGAGGGAGAGCTCACAGCTCCTTCACCAAACTGTTCAGTTATAGGAAGAGCCTTAGAAAAACACTACACTAAACCGGGTGCTGGTGGCTCATGCCTGTAATCGTAGATACTCAGGAGGCTAAGATCTGAGAATAGTGGTTCAAAGCCAGCCTGGGCAAGAAAGTCTCCATGAGACTCTCATCTCCAAAACCACCAGAAAACTGGAAGTGGCGCTGTGGTAGAGCACTCGTCTTAAGCTGAAGAGGTTAGGAGCAGTGCTCAGGCCCTGAGTTCAAGTCCCACAACCAACAAAAAAAAAAGAAAAACACTACAATGCCAAGTCAATTTCTTGGCTTTGTTTTTAACCAATTAGTAGCTCCTTTAAGAGGAAACAACATTATTTACTTACCAAGCAAAGGTTCTTTATTTTGCAGCAACTCACAGTAGCTTGTGGTGAGAATTCCAATGGGATTACTCGGCACAAACCGGCCTTCCTTCACCAAACGCTCACACGTTCGCATTAAAGTCCCTGAGAACTGAGATGGGTCCACTCCATAGTCTCTCCACCCACCAACGCCATCCGCAACCCCTAAGGAAAGGACAAGAGCACCATAACAACATCTTAGGAAGTTAACTACATGCTAGTGCATCATCATCATCTGAAAGTCACCCTAAAAAATGCTCAAATTGAATTCAATACACATTAACATTTCTAAGTCAAATTATCTTGCTTACAATTTGGTCACTCACTTATTCATGGATAAACATTTGTGCTACCACAGGATGGCACTGCCAACCAACTATGAAAGAGTTCCATTTCAGCAGGAGTATCATTTTGTATATAAGAATCTGGGTTAACAGACATCCCAAAATAGATGAATGGATCAAAAAAATGTGGCACCTATATACAATTTTACACAGCCACTAGAAAGGATAAAATAATAGTATTTGCAGGGCAAAGGATGGAACTAGAACAAATCATGTTGAGCAAAGATCAGAGAGACAAAAGGTACATATTCTCCCTGATACGCAGAAGTTATATTTAAAACCAACAGGATATGACAAATTATACCGGATTCTAGGCCCATATAGAGTGAGACCGGAAAAGAGAGTCTTAGAAGAAAAATCACCAAGTTGTAATACCCAAGCACCTCTTTATATATTTCATATACATACTGAAATGAACTCCAAAGATAAGGAAACAAAAGACCTTTTCTTAATTTGTCTTTTCATTTTTAGATACACATGCACATCTTAGGGAAGGTGGGGGAAAGGCACAGAATCAGTGGAAAATGGGTGAAAAAGTGCAGCATCAGAGCCCACCGGCTATATTGGACTTTGATGAAAGTGAACCAAGCAACTCGTAAGGCAGGGATGGAAGGGAGGGAATAGGAGAGAATGAGGGAACAGATGATAATAAGCAAAAGGAAGGCAATGTACTTATTACCTGATGTATGTAAAGGTAACCCTGCTATATATCACCTCTAAAAAAAAAAAAAGAATCTGGGTTCGCATCTGTAATCCTAGCTACTCAGGAGCTGAGATCTGAGTGTGGTTAGAAGCCAGCCCAGACAGGTAAGTCTGTGAGACTCTCATCTCCACAAAAAAGGCCAGAAGTGGAGCTGTGGGTCAATTAGTAGAGTATTATTAGCTTTGAGCACAAAAGCTGAGGGCCCAGAGTTCAGGCCCCAGGACTGGCACAGAAAAAGAAGAATTTTATGAGAGAGGACAAAAACTGATTTTTTTCCTTTAAAGTGCTGAAATAAGTGATAACACATGAGAACAGCAGAAGCAGAGCTGGAGATGGTGCTTCAGTAGGACAGCATGTTTAGCATACATGACAGCCTAGGTTTGACTGCCAGCAACAAGAATGAAACTGCCAAAACAGGAAATTTCTTCTGTTTTGTTTTTTTGTTTTGGTTTTTTTTGGGGGGGTCCTGTCGTAGGGTCTGAACTCTGGGCCTGGGCACTGTCCCTCAGCTCTTCAGCTCAAGGCTAGCGCTCTACCACTTGAGCCACAGCACCACTTCCGGCTTTTTCTTTTTGCTTATGTGGTGCTGAGGAATCGAACCCAGGGCCTTGAGCATGCAAGGCAAGTGCTCTACCACTGAGCCACCTTCCCAGCCAAAGCAGGAAATTTCTAACATCAGATATTGGCCAATATCTGAAAAGAACCAAACTGGTCCTTTCCTCTTTGAGGCTTCAGAATTAACCTGTGCAGCGATGCTCTCTACTACAGCAGCAAAGGCCACAAGTGGCTTTGGAGCACCTGGAATGGCAGGTAAGCCCTGCCCCAAATATAAAATACTTGCTGTGAAAAAAGTCCAAGTTCTCACTGTAGACTGAAGTAGTATTCTGGATATAATATACTAAATAGAATCCATTACTAAAATTAAACTTTACCATTCTTCTATTACTTGATGTGAGTACTAGGAGGTAGAATGGCAACTCTGGCTCAGCTTAGGCTGTTTCTATCAACCAGCACTGGTGGAGATTTTCACAGGTCCACAGAGCTGCTGCTGAGCTAGCTCCTAGTCTGCTTACGGCCCCTTTATGAAGAGGACACCAGTACTCAAGAAAGTCAGTGAAGTATGGAGGTCACCATCACGTACTCTGTGCCCACCGCGTGCAATGCACAGGCTCATTCTCTCTCTTCCAACGGGCAAGTCCTTTTCTTCTTTCCTCACCCTAGGCTTGAACTCAGAGCCTGGGTACTGTCCCTAAGCTGCTTTTGCTCAAGACTAGCGCTCTACCACTTGAGCCACAGCACCACTTCTGGCTTTTTTTTTTCTTTCTGTTTTTATGTGGTGCTAAAGAATCAAACCCAGGGCCTCATACATGCAAGGCAAGCGCTCTACCACTGGGCCACCTTCCCAGCCCCAGGCAAGTCCATTTCTGCCTACTAACTTTAAAGTAACAGAGGGAAATGTCAAACATTTATAGTACTAAGATTGGAAATATCTATAAACAATATGTACAATAGTTGCTATGGAAATAAGAGACTAAAAGCAAAGCAATCAACAAGTAGACAGTTCACACCATTCTGTATCCTTTGAATTTTACCTTTATCATTAGCATGTGTTCTGGATGTGGGGAGAGAGGATGGTGAGTTTAGTGTGGATAACTAGGGGCTTGTACATGCTGGGCAAACACTCAATCACTTAGCTGCATCCTGTGCAGGAACTAAATAATTTCAAAGACTTCCTGAGCATGAAACTCCCTCCTTATATAAGCATTTGCATTTCTGTACACCCATCTACATCTTTGATTTAACATGAAATGGACACAGATTTTTTTTTCTAGTGACAGCCGTGATCTAACAAAAGCAAATAGGTTCTGAGAGAGGAAGTAGCATAGGCAGACAAGTACGATGATTAAAGACTTACTATCACTGGGGCACTATGTGACCAACCAGTAAGCAAGATCTCTCTTTGGGGCAATTCCAAACTAGCTCATTAAATGATACGAAGCCTGGGATTTGTTTCAAAGTAAGTAGGGGTGGGAGGAGATGAGACAAGCCTGGCCATGAATGGATCATTGTTGAAGTTGAATGTGAGCAATGCTCATCTTCTCCACTTTGATATTTATTTGAAAACTTTCACAACACAGTTTAAATAACAGTAACAATGACAAAGTAAAAAAGAAAAAAGATTCTCTGCCCTCTGCATGGAGAGAAAAAGCAGAAGCAGTAGGCTGGGTAGGTGACCGGCTTCAGCGCAGCCTGTAGATAGGGCAATCTCTGACACCTTAGAGAGGACAGTGGAGGTGCGGGGAAGAGAACACTGAGGCCACCTCCTCACCAGAACAGCGACTGCACTGCAGCCTGTTTTAAAGTAGGTGTGAGGAGATGTGAGAAACTATTACAAAAATTTACAATAGTTTACTAGGAAGTTCTTTTGAGGAATTCTTATTTCATAGGGGTTACACTTTCACTTATCTTCCTCCCCGCGCCCTCCACCCCTGCCCCCCACCCCCCGCCCTGGCCCTGGGGCCTAAACACTGGGAACTCTGGACCTGGACACTGTTCCTCAACTCTTCAGCTCAAAGCTAGAACTCTACCACTTGAGCTACAGCACCACTTCCGGCTTTTTCTGTTTACGTGGTGCTGAGGAATCAAACCCAGGGCCTCATGCATGCAAGGCAAGCACTCTACCACTGAGCCACCTTCCCAGCCCCTTTCACTGCAAATTTAAATGAAACAATTTATGTTAAAGTAGACTACCATTACAGTCATTGCCACATCATCTGATGATTCATTCATTCTTTTCACTACTGCCTGCTCAAGGAAAGAATTTTCTCTAGTCCAAGAGCCACAATTAACTTTAAATACAATATGGTTTCATCTATGCATGTCCTTCACAAAGAAAACCATTAAACAGAGATAGTGTTTAGAGTCAGCTCCTGGCACCCGCTAATCATCTGTCAGCAGGCTGAGTCTGCCCCACACAGCCTTCAACATTAATCAGATTCTTCCCAGAATAGAGCACAACCTTTCAGGCACCTGTTTGCATTTTACATGGGTAGAAGATCCCAGACGAAACTACACCAGTCAAATCTCTTTAGAGGAAAGATAAATTCAAAGAGTACTTTTAAAGAAGCATATAAACTTCCCAATAAGGTTGTGGTGGAAAAGTTCTTCTTTTGTTCTGTCATTTTCTTAGAGAGAACAAGTTATCTAATGGGAAGAGACATAGGTTCAGAATCAGGTTAAAATCACAAGTACATCTGAAATCTAGTTCCTTTTTTTTAAAATTGGAAATCAAGTTTTATCCACATTCAAGTTATTTCTTTTTCTTTTTTGGTTGGTGGTGGGGCTTAAACTCTGGGCCTGGGTGCCATCTCTCAGCTCTCCAGCTCACGGCTAGCACTCTACCACTTGAGCCACAGTGCCACTTCCAGTTTTCTGGTGGTTAAAGATGTCTCACAGACTTCCTGCCAAGTCTGGCTTTGAACCGTGATCCTCAGATCTCAGCCTCATGAGTAGCTTGAATTACAGGCATGAGCCATGGGCACCCGGCTCTTTTCTTTCTTTTTTTGCTGGTCCTGGAACTAGCATTCAGGGCCTGGGCACTGACCTCTTTGTGTTCAAGGCTAGCATTCTACCACTTATGCCACAGCACCACTTCTGGCTTTTTCTGAAATAAGAGTCTCATGGACTTTCCTGCCCAGGCTGGCTTTGGACCACAATTCTCAGATCTCAGCCTCCTGAATAGCTAGGATTACGTGAGCCACCAGTGCCCAGCTGCATCCCAGTTGTTTCTACTCAGAAATTAGTGCATCCTCTCTTCCAGAAGCCAAAGCTTCAGACTATAAAGAACACAAATAGGGGCTGGGAAGGTGGCTCAGTGGTAGAGCACTTGCCTTGCATGCTGGAGGCCCTGGGTTCGATTCCCCAGCACCACATAAGCAAAAAGAAAAAAGCCGGAAGTGGTTCTGTGGCTCAAGTGGTAGAGCACTAGCCTTGAGCTGAAGAGCTGAGGGACAGTGCCCAGGCCCAGAGTTCAGGCCCCATGACCGGACCCCCAAAAAAAAAAAAAAAAAAAAGAACACAAACACCTGTAATCCTAACTACTCAGGAGGTTGAGATCTGAGGATCGCGGTT